TTTAGCATGGCGTTTATTTGGTCCTAATAAACTTTCAAAAGAAATTTTCTCGAACGGGAATATTCGGATCATATCCGAAATTTAGAGACGTGACAAACAATTCCTGTTCAGAGCTGATTCTACCCGCATAGCTCCTACGTCATGTATTAGAATTGTTAAAAAATTTTAGCTGGTCCAAGTATTTAATTCTTTACATTATTCGTTAAAATTCCAAGTAAATAAATTTTTTTTTAAATAAAATGAAATTTGCCTATAAGAATCGATTTTTTTATCGTAAGTTATTTTCTATTGAGAATTATCTAAAAAAATTCAAAAAGCATGTAATGACACTATCATTTCGAATATTTTCTAATCCTAAATGGCTTTTGATTTTCATATGATCCGACGACCCGGTTTTTAATTTTTCAAATTTTTATATATAAAATTCATATTAAAAAAATTTTATTTTTTTAATTTTACCTGGTATAGTAATAATATAAAGAAATTTTATTTTTTAACAAAAACTGACCCAGCCGGGTATGAGGAACCAAGTTTATTATTTTTGTGTCATCTAATTTTATTTCAATGAAAATTTTATTAGAAATTCATCATATGTTAAATTAAGGCAATAATCGTCGATGTTTTTACCTTGTGTATCGGAAACATTTACAAATAAATCAAGGGTAACCAAATAATTTAGAGCATTAATGAATTATTCTAAATTGTAAAGAGAAATATTTATATGGTATTATTGAATTGAACAAAATTTAAAAATTTGAAACCGTCAGGGGTAAAAAAAAAATTCAACAAATTAACGTACAACTATAATCAATTATATAATTTGACCGATATTAAAAATTCCATAGCACATTATTGGATCATTTAAAAAAATCGAACAACTGTTAATAATAATAATAATAATAATGCTATTTTTTCATTTCAATTTATATTTATTTTTAATTAATTAATGAGTACGAATTCTTTTTATATTACAACTAGTCTAACACTGGTCTGATTGTTTAACCATAATACAATGTTTGTTTACTTATAAATTATAAAAAACTGTATCGGATATCCCGTCTTAACGGGATACATTACAATTTCCATACGATTAATTTTTTACGAAAATTGACCGTTAAGATATTTATTATATCATATTTTAATATATTTTCATGTTATATGACAAATTGTGGTAATGACTTCAGATCTAATTAACGCGGAAAATACATGTTTTACGTCATGTAGAATAAAAAAAGAAAAGAAGCGCAAGTAAAATAATCAAAAGAGCTACTGCTATACGCTACAACTATATATTACTCTATACTAATTGCAAAATGCAAATAAAAAAAATGTTAAAACAAATTATAAAAGAAAATCGTAAATTTTGAAATATAAGTTGTAAAAAACTCGCAGACTTAAGGAATAAATTAGCGAGAAAAAGGTTAATAAAAAATATTTTACTATAAAAATTTACGAAATTAATGGCCCAATTCGCAACGTTGTGATGGATATATACCGTTATATAATCTGTACGCGCCAATTAAAATATAATATTGTGAACATTATATAACATAGTTATAAAATAACCATAATAACCATACCAATTTTATATTTAATAAAAAGGAGATCCGTGAAAAAGTTGAGATGCAAATGAGTCATTTGTAATTTGTAAAGGCAGCTGTGCAATTCGACTTAATGTGTCTTCGTTATTAACCGGAATACGTGCACGTCTCTTATATATCCTATCAATATTTTTACGCTTTTGACGTCTTTCATTTCCGTCGCTGTTAAATCTTCTTTGACGACGATTAAAAACCGATGTGCGCATAATATTATTTGGCTCCATTTTAGCATAGATTTTGGAAAAAAAAGAGAGGAAAAAAAAAAAGATTTTTATTTGATATTTATATAATAAAATTGATATTTCTGATAAACTTTCGTATATTAATAAAATCGAATTAAAAAGAATTAAATAAAAAAGGATATTGTGCATAAGATTTTATCTTATCATCATGTTTAAAATAGTAAAAACAATTATGTTAATTATGCTATCTGCATATTACTCATCCTTTTCAAGTACCCGATCCAAATAAACCTTATTTTCTTTTCTGTTTTCTTAACAATAAGTTAACCGTTATCATCTTATGTTTATTACGTAAGTCTCGGTATCAGCTTACGTAATTCATGTAAATTCATATTGGGAATTGGTACCCGAATTTTTGGATAAGCAAAAATAGATTTTCAATGACAATTCAATAACTATTGTGAGTACATTTTTGTTAACAATTTAACAATTAAATATCGGTAAACAAGGATATTTTTGAATAAATCTTTGTTTTATCAAAATTTAAACTGAATTTCCTAATCAAGTTTAATAAAGCATGATTACGGAATATAACTTTAAACTCTATTATTTATATATTGAGTAAGCCCTTAGGTGGTACTAAATATTTTTGCAGCTTTCCTTCTTGTAATTATCCCATTTTTATCGAAATTGGTTCAAATACAGCAAAAAATTTTTTGTATAATAAAATGGTGTTTGTTACTTTTTCAGTTTGGAAAGTAAGGTAGAAATCTTTTTATAATTTACTTTTTAAAGTCATATCACATATATCACGTGATTTTATAGGATTTTACAAAAGATCCGCTTGGCGCTCGCTTCGATTTAAATTCGAAACTTTTTACTATCATATGACAATATATGTACTGTATATACAATATACATACTCGTCTAAATTTTTTTTGTTCTAAAAATTACTTAATTTTTTCTTATAAATATAATGTATACATAATCAACGTACCGGAATGGAGGCGCATTTCGAAAATCTATATGGGTCTGGACCATTTCACCGACAGGTTCATTTACCTACAGTCATTTTACTGACAGTTTTGAAATCCCTAATCCACTTACCCTAACTTTATCCTAACTTTATCCTAACCCTAATTTCTAATCCTAACCTCCCTTGTCGGTGAGATGGTTGTCGGCGAAACATTTGTCTGCGAAATGACCCGGTCGTTTCATCATGGGATTGTTTTTTTTTTCGCGAAACAACACAACTTGGTTTACATTTATACAGTTAAAATCCACATGAAAATATTGTGGAAATATGTGGAAATCTGCATAGTGCCAATAATTTCCAAATACCCTGTGACAAAACACATGGTAGTGATGTTCTCATTATCAATTATTATATTATATATATATTTTTTATATTTATTTAAAACTTTTGTTAATATTATTTTATTTTTAATTTTGTAAATCAAATGAAGTCTATCATTTTCATGCACTGTAAAATGTAATGAAATCTATACATCATTAATTAATCCATTCTGGGTATCAATATTAGGGGAAATTGGAATTTCGGGAAATGATCTAGTTCAGGAAATCAGGAAATGAACAATCGAAAAATGTGAATAGTCTGTCATTTGCGCCACAGCCCAGTAATGGCAAATGACCAGGTCATTTGATCAAATGACAAATGACCCCCCGAATGACCTTTGAATGACCTAGTCATTTGAGGTCATTTGTCATTTAAGTCATTTATAATTTAGGCAGCCCGCAGCCAGAATTACAAATTTATAATGTCACGTGATATATTCATCATTTAACCCTAAATGAACAATCATTTGATGTCATTTGGGTCACTTGCCATCACTGCGCCACGCTGTGAACAATCGAAGCGGTTATATCCCTGGTTGCCTTACTGCCCTTACATGATAATGATAACACATAATAAAGTTTATTTAATAGCTTAGTAGTTTGATAGTTTCTCTTTCTCACGAAAAAATTTAATAAATGAAATTATATCCGGCAATAAATGGTGTAACATGGCGAATATGAACAAAATGATTTGATCTTAGGGATATTGAATATTACGGTATTTGTTATGGCATTGGTGTGATTATCAAAGACAAATTTTGGTTAAATGAATAATGACGGTTTTGACAAAAATAGTTCAAATCATAAATTTTTTATATTTGTATATTACACGTGTGGTTTTCTGATTCAAAAATTTTGGGATTATTGTTATTCGTAAGAATTTACTAACAAACACAATAGACTCAAGCTTTATTATGACTATGATCATGAACATAAAATATTTTTTTTTATTTATTACAGTTATTCAAATAAATCAAAAAAAAACTACAATCGTCCCAATTATGATTATAATGTTTGCATCAGCGTCAGCGATACAAAGAAAAGAAATTCCTAATGAGCGCGATTCTTATATTTTTATTTTTATTTTTTTTAGGGGAGGGGGTATCTTTAATTAAGGTATCATAATTGTACCATGTGTATGACTTGTTGATCTCATATTGGGTCAAATAATGTAAAGAAACAAAACCATGTTCTTACTAAGCCAGCAGATCGTCATGTGGGATAGACGTTCAAAGTTAGCAAATAACATGTGATATAAATATATGATCAAACAAGTTCTCACGGCAACTTTTGAAAGGGATCTGAAACTTGAAACCTAAAACCTTATTTGTTCGATCAACAATATAAACAATATAAAAATAAACATGATTTACATAATTATATGCTTTGTACTGTATATCATTGTTTCGCTTAAAATAAATGATCAAACATACAAATTAATAAATGAATTTTTAATTAAACCCCTGCATGCTATATTCTAAATGTTAAAACCGATATCAGATATGGGTTTAAAAAACTTTCTAAAATTAAATCGACAAATCAAATTTACACGTATATTTATTTCTTTACGTTCAGCATTTTTTTTTTTTTTTTAAAAAAAAAAAGCAGCAACTTTAATAGAAATTTTTAATGTATTTCGTTCAGTTTAGATTCAATTTTTATTCCTATGACCAATTACCAATCAAATTATAAAAATGGGTTATAAAAACTTGAAGTAGACTATTTCAAGATTAGTTCAAGTCCAATGTAATATTTTTCATATAAAATATGCAATTTTTTTCAGTAAACCTCTATTTTCAATAATTCCCTTCTGTATCAAAGAAAAAATATAGATTCTTAAAAAAAACACATTTTCGTTGTCATGATAGATCATAAGCAACAACCAACAAATTTAACTCAAATGAAACATACTTCATTAAATGGTCTATTTACAGATCAAAAAGATAATGCAACTAGTAATTACAAAGAACCCTCTGATTCCTCTTCTATTGGTAATCGTGGTAATCGGTTTACTGCTTCTCGCATTGTTCATAGACGTCGAAATCAAAGAAAGCTAAGACGTGAAATTAAATATCCATTAAATCATTATATGAAACGTTTACCAATACAAATCACAAATGATCCATTCACAATCCAACTTTTTAATGGATCTCCTTTTTAAAGACATACATCGATGATTATATTTGATTCTCTACCATTCGTTTATTTTTTATTTCTAATTATTCAAAATTATTATTTAAATCGTAAATTAAAGATAAACCATTCGCTTACTTTTATTTCTTCTAATCGTAAATTAAAGATACCTTTCGCTTACCTACCTTTATTTCTAATTATTCTATATTATAAGATACTGTATATATAAATATGCTATGAATTATTCGTTGACAACCCAATTTCAAAATAGTATATAGCAATATTTATCTATATTTAATTTTTCGTATTACCTTAAGAAATTAATTACCTTGGTGAAGTTTTCATAATTTCAGAAAAAAAAAAACTTTCTTTTTATCCAATTATATCTATTATTACATTTATGACACATGATCCTTTACATTAAAAATTATATTTAACACCATGGTGTTCAACACCACAGTTATATGATTTATGTATTTTTTTATTTGTTACTCTAACTTTTTTATTCTATATTATTAATAGTCTAGATGAGCTGATTCTATTAAGTTAATAATTATCTTTCACATCAAAGTACTTAATGCTGCAGCATATAATTACTTATTTTTTTTTTTATAAGTTTTTTGATTTTTTTTATTTTGCAAAATTTCTAGTACAAAAAAAAATAGTATTATTCAAATTCTTTTTTCTCATCATTTTCAAGGATGTTTTTAATTAGTACAATTTGTTTAGTTTAGGCCATAATTTTTGTGAAATCATTTACTATGGTGTCGAGCACCAGTGATGTGTTTTTGTAAAGCCGTTTAAAGAAAAGATCATAAAGGTCAAAACTGAAAATAATAAAATTAAAAAATTATTCAAAAAAGCAAATTCAGATATGGCAAAGGGATTTAAAGTTGTTGGTAAAGATGCACGCGTTATGCTAACAGCAAATGTATAGACAGAAGCCAGCTTAGTAACGGGTCAATGGAAACCATACAAAATATTATATTCAGAAATAGTTGCAAATAAAACCACTATCTTTATTTCTTGTTAACTAAACGAAATTACTTGATTTTATATTCTTCTAGATAAGGATTTGAATTGAAACACTAATAATTTACATACCAATTGAATGATTATAAATCGACTATTCTTAAAATTTTTTGAATATCAAAAGAAGTTCAGAAATCAGAAAGAAATTAAACTTGTAGAGATCAACCATGTTATGCAGTAAACCATTTTTATCAATTTCTTAATATTGTATAATATTGTATGATATTATTAAGATAATAATTCATCTAGTCCATTATTGTATTTTCAATTGCATTTCCTGATCGAATTATTGATAAGATAGATTAAGAAAGAAATATTATCACATGAACAATTGATTTTATCCATAGAACAATTAATACTTTCACTAATTATTAGTAAAATTATTATTTGTTCTTCCTATATTTATTCTGTTATTGATATTTGTAATCAATTACTTATTTATCTACTATTTTACTCTATAGTAGAACATAATATAATAATTTGAATAGTCGAATCGATCAATGGGATCAACAGTTTTGTTAGTTCAACGTCTGATCTTTTTATGGTATTGACATTTATTACCTGTTACGTAATATCCATTTGTTATAGGCTTTAACCCCACTTAATATATATATTAAAAACCCCCACCCCCTAAAATATTATGTAAAATGTCAATTGCCCTTACCATTATATGTTCCATTATCCATGGTAGATTAGTTTAATTAAGTTACACAAAAATAGTATACGTAAACCTTTACTTTCCTTATTTTGTAATAGTTTTATTTCCCCAATTTGAATATCATCTAAACTGGGGAATAAAAAAAAATAATTTCTCCCCATTTCTGAACTTGGGGGGATAATTTTACCTCAGGGAAAAAAAAAAAATTTCTGTGCCCCTTATTTTTCTATTATGTATTATCTGTAAGATAGTGTTTGATGAATTTCATTTGTTATATTAGGACGCAGAAAAAATTTTTTTTTTTTTTTCAATTAAACTGGGGCGAAATTATTTTTTCTTCCCTCAAGTTCGGGGATGGGAAGAAGTTATTTTTTTTGTTTTTTTTATGAAGGAGTGTTCGACTGAGTATCTGAACTGTGACTTGATAGGGTAATGGCATTAGTGAAATTGTCATTGAGAATGGGGAACGTGGGGAACGTATCCCTTATTTGAAAGGGTTATCATATGATTTGGCGCAGTCAATTGGATTATTAGTGTATATCAAACAAAAATAATCTCCCAAGTCCCAAACTCCCAATTCCTTTATAGACTAATAGTATACAAAGAATTGCTTTATATATCTAATAAGATTGCAATAACCAAACTATTTGAAAGTTTTATAGTAGTACTTCAGACTTTTAATCGCTGATTTTAGTTTTATTAGGTAGAAAGATTTATAAGAGCAGAATTTGACATTTTTTTAAAGCAAGAAATACAAATTGTTTATTTTGGGCTAACATTAATATGATTTTATTATCGGTCAGGAATCAGGACCAAGATGCTTGAATGGTTAATCTATTCGATTAATGGTTTTGATAAATTATGAATAAAATAGTAATAAAATTCGTCAACATATTTTTTTTGATTTCCTTATTGAATCTGTCCATTAAGATATTTTTTTCGAACACTTTGTAGAAATTAGAATATCAAATAATTAGATCAACTCTTTTTAAAAAAAAAAATAAAAAAAATTGCGATCAATAATATTTTTATAACCCGTTTTAATTACGATATAAAAAAAACATAATATTTTGTTGATTGTCATCCACAAGAAAAAAAAAAATCTTCTCTGAGATACTTCGCCGACATTTTTTCTTTGTTTATTGCTCAATTGTAGGAAAAATGAAAAAAATCATTAGACGTGCTCAAAAAAAAAAAAAAAAAAAAAAAAAAAGTCTTTAAGAAATTGTTCTAGACTAAGAATGTTTTTCGAACAATTTTAGCAACTTCGATATTACTAATTTTCATGATGGTTTAATAGGTGAATTAAAAATTAACTTTTTCAGGGGAGTTCCTATTTGTCACATTATTGTCACATTGATCAAGTCGATCAATTAATTTCGATCACGAAAATTTATCCTTTATTTAAAATTATTCAAATATTTAGCGGATTATGTCAAGTGATTTAAATTGTGTGTAAACGTTTGTTTTTAAGACCTGGAATGTGGAAAAAAAAAGGTAGTTTCACTAGTTTATTTAGATTTTTTATTTCAATTAGTCAATCACGAGTTTTCGGGAAATTTACTAATGATTTTTATTATCTTCGCCGCATGCAACAATTCGTTTAAATTACTAGAATTGGCACTACTTCTCGCGGTTTGTTGTTAAAAATGGAGAAAGAAGATTGTGCAAATTTATCAGGGGCCAGAATTAGTACTACGTTATGGTCGTTATGTGTACACCGGTTAGTGTAACGGTAGCTTTGATTTAAATTCTTTTTTTTCGTTAAATATTTTGACTATTTCTTTGAAAAAAACTATTTCATATTTTAACTTTTTGTTTGACTTTTGGATTTGATGATATTTCTGAGGTAACTATTTTTTTTTTATTTATTCACTCTTTTTTTTATTACAAAATATTAATAACGTCTTAATTTTCACTTTTTTATGTTTATCTCTTGAACTTGAATTCCATTTTGGATGATTGTTTTATTTTTTTTTTTTTTTGTAATGGCAAAGTTAAGACAATTTCGAATAAACCTATCACAAATTAGAACAATGTTAAAATATTATCTAAGACAATATCTTCTTGTTTTCACATTTTCACATGATATCATGCAACAATATTTTCACTGAAAATCGACCTCCGAAGAAACCTGTTTATGGCAGATGAAAGTAATGATGCAACTAGATATGTCATATTAATTTGTCAGGAAACAAAACTTATCTAGTGAAAAAGATGAAAATGGAAGTGTAACGTACTCTGTAGAATTCAAGGTGCGCGTGTTTATCGTCACGATGTCGACGATAAAGAAAATTTTAAATATGAACGTGAGTTATACTTGGACATGATAATGGAGAAAGAAGGAAGTTTTTAATTATTGGTGGGAAGGGAGAATCTTGGAGTATCAAAGAGAGTCAGTATACCTTCGTACTTGTATAGATATACTCGAATCAATCTTGCAGATGCTTTGATTACTAATTACGTGAATAATGATTGTTGGTACGATGACACTTCTGATGGTCCTGTAGATGCTGAAGTTACTGAAACTCAGGAATAGAGGTAATTACAAGTCTAACTGCAAAAAATTTACATTTGAAGCATTATGATGATTAACATATATCAATTTAGCAGATCATGGGTTCTTGTGGCACCTCCAAAGTATGCGCCGGGTATTCCCAATATTGTGTCGTTATATCACATTATCTTGGCCAGTTGATCCGAATTTTCCAGCAAATGATCCTGTAAATTATCTATATAGGATTTAAACAAAATAAGACAGAAGGTTCATATATTGTTTATATTTGCGTTACTCCACACAGACGAAAGTGAATTATTATCTTTGAAGCTATCTGCAAAAACTCTTAGGTTAATAAGCTACGGATCGGAGAAGTCAGGTCATTTTTTAAAGCTCGAAAATGAATCGAATAGTCCAGTTTTTGAGGAAAGTAATTTCGAGGAAAGGGAAAAAAAGAAAGAGGGAAAGAAGAAAAAGGAGGAGAAAAAAAAGGAAAGAGAAGAAGAAAAAAAGGAATATATCGTAAGTGAATGATTTTTCAATTCCATGGTTGCAATTTTTCTTCTTTGCTAAGTATATGATGAAAATATGAATTTACTTTATGCTTTGCCATATTCTCCCTGTAGTTCGTTCACCGCATTGCTACCGACACTGCGTTCAATGCTGCCTATTCTACCTTATGCTATTATTTGCAAAATGCTTAGAAGCGATGGTCAGAAGAAAAAAATATTGATAATCGGAAGGATGCCAGCATTGATGCACTGTATTTTGAAGTCTATTGCAGAATTTCTTGTAAGTATTCTAAATTTGGTTCTCCTTCAAGAATTACTATTTACGATTATATTGTTACTCGCAAATTATAACAAAAGTTTGATGACAATAATTGTAGTTAAAATTTTTTTGCGTGCGGTTAATTTAAGTTAATTGGCCTTTATTATCAAAATCTTAAATAAATTTAACCATTTCAATTTATAATTTTATTAACATCACTCGATCGTATTATTACTTTCTCTGAACATCTGAACTATCCTTTGAATACGTCTGCGTCAACAATAGATTCATGATTTACCCATTTAGAAGATAATTAAACAAAATATAGTGTTAACTGTTAAAGCAAGTTTAGATCACACGATAATCTCATGATTATCGCTCAATGGATTTTCCTCGATAACCTTAGAGATTCTCTCCACAATGAACATCAAGCAACATTTGACGTTGTTATTATAGGCGGTGGTATTGCAGGGTCATGCACAGCAATAAGACTAGCCCAGTTATTTAATTCGGCAGCTTCAACCTGGCGAAAAATTTTAGTTATCCATGAGAGAACAACGAATACAGGGACGTTCAAAGTTGGAGAATCCTTACCTGGAGAAGCAAAACCTATACTTAGTTCATTGGGTGTATTTGAAGCGGTGGATAACGATGCAATACAAGGTATTGAATCCGAAAATCGGTCTGTGTGAAAGTAATCTCGTGTTTTAACTAACTTGTCGATTTTATAGGGAAACATAATTATTGTTACGGAAATTCCTCTGCATGGGGATCTGATGAATTGCATGATATGAGCACGATAATTAATGCCTATGGTGAGGGATTTCATTTGAACCGGTTCCTATTTGATGAAACATGCTACTACCAATAGGGTGAAGGTACAGGGATTAGAGTAGTTGGACTGCACCATGGTGAATCAGTATGTACAGTACGACTGCATATTTCAACAGAGGGTTTTGGTGTCTTGATTACTTAAAGCTGCCGAGTCACAGTATGATCGATTCATCCCGATTATACGTGATTCAATGACTAAGTTACTTCTTGTAGAAAATGATGACGGGGAGAAATATTGGAAGGTTTCTATTTCGAATAATAGTAAGCTTGTTTTTTCATAATTGCAATGGCGTTACCGAATTAAATTTGATTTTACTTCCTTTTTTATTAGAATTAACAATCCACGGAAGCATTCTTATGCAAGTGCTGCATTCGAAAAGATTTACCGGACTTAGAGCGTTCCTCCTTCGATAAACTACTGGCCTTGGCATGATTAACCGAAACTGATACTTCACAACCTGCTGATTCGGACCACGTTGAATCTTGTGCTTTTGGATGGTGGTACACTAGTCTATTACCAAATAAGCAACGAATCGTTGTTTTTCAGATCTAATAAAATCTATTAATAAAAAGAAAAAATCAGGCGAGTTGAAGAGTTTTATGAATTTATGAAAGAAACTGCAGCGCATACTACCAAGCGTATAAGTGAGCATTCGTATCAACCTGTGGGAAAAAGAATCATGTGTATGCTATGCCTGCAAATTCAGAAAGCCTTTCTCGGTTTGGTATGTACCTAATTATTGCATCTTTTAATTGTGATACGAATACTTACGTTACATTTCAACTTAAATTAGCATCTTATGAAAATAGATGGGTAGCAATTGGTGATAGTGCCGTTTCTTTTGATTCACTCTCATCTCAAGGGATGCTCACTGCTCTATATAGCGCGAAACTTGGTAGCTATATTTTTTCAGTACTTTAACGCCAAGAAGGCACAAAACAAATAAGTAACTGTTCAACCATTAGAACATTACATCGAGGACACATTTCGTAAATATATACCGGAGAAAAGGTTTTTTTATAATAAGGAACAAAGGTGGAATGATGAAATTTTTGGAAAAGACGACACGAAGGTCACATTGAGATGTGAAGTGATATATGCTTTATTGGCGATACTGCTTCATATTATGAATTAAATACATTTTCCCAAATATTGTATTTGTTGTTAATCAAAGCAAGTATTGCAAATTTCTATTTGTAAAAAACGCAAAAATGCAAGACTTTAACTAATAAAAATCAAAAATGATTCGGAATTACCAATTATTTAAAACAGATTGTGATTGTAATGAGTATTCTAGTGATCTATCCATTGCTATACTAAATAATTCTTTTTATATGTTAAAATAGTAATTTAATATAATAAAAAGCTAATTAACCCACTGTTTGGTAATGTTTGGAAAGAGAAGAATGATGAATAAAATAGCTATGTTTCGTGGTATATTAAAACACTTACTCGAGTTGGTACCACATTTGTAACAAGGATCAGTAAGGTAATATGTAAGATAATTATATAATATGCTTTTCTTTTTTATATATTCTTCCTTTATGGTGAAATTTGAAAAGGTGGAATATACAACGAAGTCATGGGTGAACTCACATTTGGGAAACTTGACCGTTGATTTTGGCCTATAAATGCATTTTAAAGGTGAGAAGACATCTTTGTTATAGGCTATGCATTAAAAATAATGGAAAAATACAACTACCCTATGTTCTGGAATTCGTGATTGAGCTTATCATTCTTGATATCTTTATCATCAATCCTAATAAATAGAAATCTTGTTAATGAAAGTAAGAAAATATCAAGCGCAAGTTTCTTTACAATAAGGAAGGTACATACCGAAAGAAAGCTTCTCCAGGTTAAATGTCTTTTGCGGAGCTACGTACGAACGACTCTCACGAAAGCAATAAAGTGGATCGCATGATAACACACCTTTCATTGCGATCTCACAAAAGGATACATTTCCTCTTATAAGCTCTTATGTTTCAAAAGTGTTTTACCTGTTTTACTTGTGGCAATGTTTTTAGCCACCACAATTAGTAGGTTTTTAATATTATTTTATACGTGTTTCTCTTTTGTTATTCAATTAGTTAAAAGAAATTTAAACTTTTATTACTTTTATTGATTAGTTGATTAAATAGGCTTCGCGTCTGATCTGTGTTACAATGTAATAGATCAGTACTTCAAACAACAATTTTTATATAATATAATTTTTCGTTTATCAAGTCAAGAATATATAAAATTAAAAAATTTATTCAATTATAGCAGTTTCAAAAAAAAAAAAAAAATCGATCAATTCATTTAATTTCATTATCCTATCATTCTTTTCGGAAAAAATATCGTAGACTAAATAATAATATCAACTTATCTTTCTTATCTTTACCGTAAAAAAAGAAATACAATAAATAAAGTACTACATGTATTACCATTTTACCAAATATTTATAATTTGTGTTCTCTGCACCTTTAATTTACAAATAAAAGTAACAATACCTTATTACGTAATTATAATAATATAATTTTTTTCAATTTATGGATATTTTATTTTAATATCTCTTCTACAGCATTATACAAAAAAACGTACATCAAAAAAAATTGACCTAGAAAAATTTTGGCGTCATTCCAACTCCTATTAGGCCATTACTATTATTTCAGTACGCATAAAAAAAAAAATTTTATTTACGTTCGCGTTATATTTGTTATAAATTGTAGAAATAAGAAATTTTATAGAAATTTATTTCTTATTGATTGATAAAATATTCTGTTCAATTTTTTTAAAAAAAAATCGAGTTCATGAATTAGACCGATTTATTATGCTGGTTATTTATTTTTTTCCGCTAAAAGTGCATAATAATACGCATGAATCAAATCACAAGTCATATATAAAATCACGTCATGGGTTTTAAAATCGTAACTGGACTTATAAAACTGGACTATTGGAAATAATGATCCAGTCAATCAAAAATAACTGGACTTATAAAAAGTTAGCTACCGCATGTATTATTTTTAAAATATCAGATATAAACAGGTGTAATAAGCAATGGAAAAATACCAACATATTTTTTTTTAACTACATTCATAGAACAAAAAAATAATAACGAAAAAAAAAAATCATTTTCTTCCATCATGTACTCAACAACTTGTTCCTCTGATTCATATAAATTTTAATGTTTATGAAATATAACTTTCATATCAAATATCTTACACAACTAACAATTCCTCTTTTATGAATGATGCTTCGACTCATCGTCATATCGTATTCTTCGAAGCCGTCCTGTATCTGTTGAAGTGGTAAACCCATCCGAATACAAAGATAAAATAGTAAACGATCGAGAATATCGTTTCCGAGATCAACTGAAACGTTTTACAACCTCTATTTAATAATGTTGTTAGGTTCATAATTTCTCTTAAGCAACCTAACATTATTGCGGTAGTGTGTTTTAATTTGTTATTGCGCGTTACTTTTTTGTCTTACGTATAAATTTCTATGTCGCTTGCTTTTGAATACTAAAGTCAATTGATTTTTTCTGGAAACCCAAGTTCTTAAGCATATTTTCACGCAACTATTTTAGTGGACATCCAGATAATAATTAGAGACCTGAACCGTTCGTTTAAGAATCATCAAAAATTTTTTTTTTTTCACTACCTAAGGGGTTAAGGTTGTTCCAAATTATAGTAATAGTTAGTTAATATCTTTTCTGGCCAAAAAATTTGAGTGATCTATAATCCATTTAATCTAATGTATGACATAAAAAATAATTTGTGCTTGCCTCTGAAATAATAGACAAACCAGTTAATGGTAAACATTGTCATTTCTATTAGCCAAAGATATAAAAAAAATGTTAATTTGAATTCATTGAAGATGTTGATAAATTTGGCGTTCAAACAATGGCAAAATCTTGAGAATAGCAATACTTGTAAAGAGAGATTTGCATTCCTTAAAGTATATGTTAAACGCAGAGTGAATCTTATTTTATTGATTGAATTTTCATCTGTCGGTTAATCTGTTTCTGATCTAACTATCTTTAAATAGAATTTTAAGATAAAAGGCACCAAAGTAATAATATTATTAATAATGTTTTAGCTTTGTGATAAAGAAAAAAGTTATTAATTTCTAATTTATATGAATATAATAATCATAATTTTTTTTAGCAAGTGAGGTAGTAATTAGTAAAATTCTGAAATTGCAATAATTCAATGGATTGTAATTATAAAACCCACGAAATATAAACTAATTTTTTTTTTCATGATGTTTTCTTTTGTTGGATACTAATCGTATTTTGTTAATTTTAGTATTTTAAAAAACTTATTAAAGTACAATTTGAAAGATTCATTTTATTAATCGATAAATGATCATAAAAAATTTCTTTTTTCTTTTATTTTCATAACCTTACCAGATCAATAATTCTGCTCAAAAAAGTATCGTACCAAAAAAATTGTACACATTTTTTCAGGGCCAGAATTATGATAATTTCGGTCAGCATCCTAAAAAGGTAGTAGTTTTCTGCTAGGCATTATGAAGTTTTTTTTGGTTGGTTTGACCTTTTTATGTTTCTTTCACTTTTTGTTTAAATCTGCAGTAAACTTATTAGAAAATTCTAACACATTTTTCTTTGGGACCGTAAGTCTTGATATAGTAGCTACTATTTTTTTGTTTTTTTTTTAAGAAAGAAACTGCTTGATGGTTTTTGATACTTTAGAAGCTGAAAAACTTATTCATCTTAACACTCTTCGTAACGACCTCAAAAAAGTCCCTCAAGCTCTTAAAAAAGCCATTGACTATCTTTTAACCGTTACTAATAAACAATAATATTTTCATGTTTGCAAGTATATTTCTGTTAATACTGAACAACTTTTAGCAGCAAGACGCTCCTATGTTGCTTTACGTCATGAATACCGTTCACTTGAAGAATGAGTTTCAGAAATTTTTTTGTGCACATGATCGAAATGCTCAATTTCCCAACTTGTGGAAATTCAACGACTTTCTCCAAAGATTGAATCAATCAAGTCCCATCTAGCGTGGTTAAAGTTTACCTGACGAAAACATCGCAGGAAAAATTACCAACTTTAGCAATTGTTATTTTCTTTTATTTTACATCTTGCGTATATCGTTCACATTGTTACTTTTAATAAATTGACTTACAAAAAAAACCGAGTCCATTTTTCACCATATTAGCATTAGTATCAGACAGGGTAATGATTTACAACTATTTTTTATTAATCTTTTTAGAAATCTTAATTTGGCAGAAATTACCAACATATATTGTGTTACATATATGATGTTGTACTTGTACAGGGTCAAATTTTTGCATTTTGATATAACCCGGTAAGGTTAATAAAAAAATCACAATCATATGAAATTTTGATCACTTTTTTTATATATAGACCTCAATGTAAGTTCATTTTCCTTTCTCTCTCAAACTAAGAATATAACAAAATAAAATATTAAAAAATAAGTTATCCTAACTAAATATTATATTATGGTAAAAGCTCAAGAATGGTTGGACAGAAAATATCCCACTGCAGAAGCCAAAGCAAAAGTCAAAAGAATCGGTCCTAAACAAGACTTAAAAAGTGTGGGAAGTAATTTACTTTCATCGTTTATTAAGGGTCGGTCCTTATCAGCTGTTCTTGATAATGAGATAAACAACAGTGGTATAATTGAAAGCAATCTTAGTTTAGAAGGTCCTTTATCTTTAAAAGGATTCATTAATTTGGAATTTTTGAATATCTGTAACCATAAAATTACTACATTAGATGTGTCTGATTGCCTGCAACTTCGTGAATTACGTTGTTCAGACAATAAGTTAACTAATATAGATTTAACTGGATTAGATAAAATTGAAAAAATTTTTTGTGATGGCTGCCAATTAACAAATTTAGAATTTTTAAAAACTCTAAATCCGGTCAGGTTGGTCACTCTCCGCATGAACAACAACAAATTTCCTGCCCAAGATTTAAGTTGTTTTACTCCCTTTATTAATTTAGAGAGATTATATATTGTTAACAATCCTTTTTATGGTTCTTTAAAGCCATTAAGGGATTTAACCTATTTAAAGGAAATAGGTATTGCTGGAACTGACATTGATAGTGGTTTGGAATATTTGCCTGAAAATTTTTTCAATCTCGATGCCGCCGCTTCTTATTTGGGCTTGGTGGGAGGTCACTTTAAAAGATTACTTATATGTACGGGAAAACTTGCTGAACAATTAAATAATTACAAAATAGAAAATGATCCCCTTAAAAATTATGACTGGCAAGCTTGGAAGCGAGATAATCAAGAATTAATTGACAAAGCTAAAAAGCAAGATAAACAAGAAGAATTAACTGAGTTATTAGAATGGGAAGTAGTAGGCTAGTAGCTAAAGAAGTTAAAGAGTTATATGAACATCTTCGATGTGATATTTATCAAAAACTCATAGCTGAATAGTTAATAAGACGAAACTAAGTAGTTGAATTGATCATATTATATAATAAGCATCCTTAAATTTTATTTTATTTTCATGTAAAAATTTAAATTGATGAAAGCCTTTTTTGATTGGATATATCATTTTATTTGGAATAGTAAAAATATAATTCTTAAACATTTGAACTTAGATATGGTAACGATCGTATACTTGCTAACATACTTTTCGGGAGATAGTCCTTTATTTATACTTATTCATTTCAAGAAAAAAAGAATTTGTTAAGAAAAAAATTTATTCAAAACCCTTTTTTTAAAAAAATAAATAAAAAATAATAATAAACGAATTCAAATAAAATTATATCAATTTATTCCTTATTATAAAATAAAAATAAATATTTCATTTTCTTGAATAAATACAATAAATGTAACGAGTAGCAACATAAAAATAAAGGTTCGTTTACATTTAAAGCAAAAGCTTAATAAATAATATAATAATAAATTGATTATGCCAAAGTACAAAATTTTTAGTATTTTTCGTAGATTGTTTTATAATAAAAAAAATTTTTTTATAATTCCATATAAACTTTCCAAGTGTAAGAAAGTATATATATAATACTCTGTTAATTAGGTTATGGTAGACTTTTTTGGTAAAGGTGCCTTTCTAAGAGGCTAGCTAATACGAATTATTAAAATAACTAAAAGTTTATACGTAGGTAGCGTGAAATTGGTTTTTTTGTCTATTGTGTTATACGGCTATTACGGAATATATAGTCCAGGTCTCCAGGATCATCTTTTCCGTTTATTTACCAAAATGAATCAATAATCGGCAATAATGAACTGGAATCTCTGCAACTGATTGGTTCGTTTGAAAAAGTGGGTCTTCAATTACACTCAGTAAGGAAATAATTACATTATATTTCACTGATTTTTTCCAAAATTTCATATTTCAATAAAAATTATTGAATGTTTTAGCGTCAAACATCATTGTGAGAATGGTATCATTTTTAGGCGTTTGGTAAGGTTAATAAATCACATGGCATATGAAATATGCTTTTAAAATATATTTAATGTAATTTCTTCTTTCGCAACTAATAATTAAAAATATTATTATTTTTTTTTTTTTTAAGTCATTTTAAAGTATTAAAATATTACATTATGGTAAACGAGGTAAATGCTCAGGAATGGTTGGATAAAAAATACCCCACTGCCGATAAAAAGAAAGGAGTTAAAAGAATAGGTTGCAAACAAGACTTAACAGGAATAACAGGATTAGAAAATAATTTTAATAATTCACTTAAACTTTTTATGGAGGGTCGATCCTTGTCAGCTATTCTTGATAATGTGATAAACAAGGGAATTATTGAAGACGGTATTAGTTTAAAAGGTCCCTTATCTTTAAAAGGGTTCGTTAATTTGGAGGTTTTGAGTATTAGTAGCCATAAAATTACTACATTAGATATTTCTGATTGTCTACAACTTCGTGAATTAAACTGTTTCAATAATCAACTCACAAATATAAATATATCTAATAACCGACAAATTGAAGAAGTTAATTTTTCAGGCAATAAGTTAACTAATTTAGATTTTACTGGATTAGATAAAATTGAAAAAATTTTTTGTAATGAATGCCAATTAAAAAGCTTAGAATTTTTAAAAACTATAAATCCTTCCAAGTTGATTACCCTCCGCTTGACTCACAACGAATTTCCTGCCCGAGATCTAAGTTGTTTTACTCCCTTTATTAATTTGCGTAGATTATACCTTGAAGGTAATCGTTTTTATGGCTCTTTAAAACCATTAAGAAATTTAACTAGTTTATGTGGAATAGGTATCGCTGATACTGACATAGATAGTGGTTTAGAGTATTTGCCTGAAATTTTTTTTGATATCAATATCGCCGCTTCTGATTTGGGTTTGACGGGAAGTTACTTTTCAAGAACACTTTTATGTACGGGAAAACTAGCAGAACAATTAAAAAATTACAAAATAGAAAATGATCCTCTTAAAAATTATGACTGGCAAGCTTGGAAGCGAGATAATCAAAAATTAATTAACAAAGCTAAAGAGCAAGCAAAACAAGAAGAATTAATCGAGATAGCAGAATGGGAAATATTAGCTAGAGAAACTAAGGAGTTATATGAAAAAATCCGGTGTGATATTTATCAAAAAATTCACTATAGTTGAGCCTGTAATATGCATCATCAAATTTTATTCTCGGATTTATTTTCATCTAGAAATTTGAATTGATGAAAGTTTTTTTTTTTGATTGAATTTATCATTTTATTTGGAATAATAAAAATATAATTCTTAAACATTTGAACTTAGATATGGTAACGATCGTATACTTTGCTAACATACTTCTCAGGTGATAGTCCTTTATTTATACTTATTAATTTCAAGAAAAAAAAGAATTCGTTAAGAAAAAAATTTATTCAAACCCCGTTTTTTTTAAAAATAAAATATAAATGGATTCAAGGAAAATTATATCAATTTATTTCTTATTATAGAAAAAAGATTCAGTTCATTTACATTTAAAGCAAACGCTTAATAAATGACAGTAATAAAATGATGAGTTTTGTTTTTTATCGCACCTGCGTTATGTCGCACCCCTATAATATGTTACATATAAAAGTCAAAAATAACATTCTAATCCTTTTGATATATTAATAAAACTTGTAGAGCGGTCAAAAATACGCATAGTATAAGGGTGCTGTCAGATATTACCTAATATTTTAGGGGGGGTAACTAAAGATCTTAGGTTACATACAATACTATATAAGAAATTATATATATAACATATCTTACCTAGNCAATACTATATAAGAAATTATATATATAACATATCTTACCTAGGGGGGGGGGTAAGCTCTTATATTAAAGTTTATTTTATTTATTTATTTTATTTTATGTAAAGTCGGAAGGACTATTCTAAGAGAGCATTAATTACAATAATTACGCCCATCATTTAGTCCATCATCTATCCCGAGGGGCAGACCCTAACTAATTATTATATACCATAGACTACTCCAACAACACGACCGATGAAGGAGCAGGTAGAGGGAAGAACAATTAAATGACGAGCACTAATCCGTATTTTTCTTTCAGCCCATAGGGCTGCCACCTGTAAATACTGTGAGAGGTGGAATGTTTTACACTATTTCAAGTTGTTAAAAATCTATCGTAAAAAAATGAACTAAAATGCTAATAAGCATATACAACTAGAAACTAATATATTCATAAATCTATATATAAAAATTTGACTAACGGGAACTTAGATAGTACGAGCAGATGGACCATTTCCTAAATCCTTTGAGGCGGATAATATACAAACCTTTTTATCTTTATGATAACTATAATGAGTATCTAAATTGCCATTATCATTGGCACGTCGTTTAAGTAGTCTCTCATCCATAATGGCACAAGGCTGAAATGCCAAACCGATTTCATTCCCATAATAACCGACGACAAAATAATTTTCATAAGTGTCAACCCGAGAGCGTAAATCTTCTAAGATTTCAGTATCTTCGCATCTTTTTTGTTCAATTTCTTTAAATTTTTGTAATCGTTGTTTTTGCATTTTTTTGCGTTCACTTTGTTTAAGTGGTCCAGATACGGTCGGTAAATCGGGTATTACTTCTGATGACATTTCAATCAATTTCTTCGCATAATTGTAATGAGCGTCAGTGAATTCCATTACGAGATTACATAGATCCTTTCGGTATTCGCCTTGATCGGGAGTCGTATCCCATTGTATTCCAGCAATTATTCTTTCTTGTTCATATTCCATCCTTTCACTATGATCATCATAGATTTCTTTCATGTGAGCTAACCAGCCAGCACTGCCAACTGCAAGTGGTTGTAATTTCTTTTTCCAGATTTTCATACAAGAAGGTTGATTCAATAAACCACCTTCGTAAATTGCAGATTGAGGAATTAACGGAATATAATGTTCAGGTACGTTCTCCCAATTGTCAGTATTGACTGAGGATGTAGGATTATCATTTAACGTAGTAGCGACAGAGCTAACGTTACAAATTGTCTCCGCTATAGCAGATGCAGATACGGTCTTAATTTTAAGAAGTGGAATCGGAAAGGTATAGTAACCGGTTGAAGGTTCGATAAATTTTTTTTTATATCGAAGATGTTTGATAGGAGCGGTGAATAGTTGATTTTCTTGAAATAATAATTTGTAACGTCTTGCAGCTCGGAGTTTATCATCCGTCTGCGCATTATCATCCAGCTTGGCGTTGTGAAAGGTATGCCTAACCAAAGCATTAAAGTGTGCTTCTTGTCTTTTCTTGACTTTTGGAGATGAACTGGGAGTAAATTGAAGATTCCCATATTTTTTGCCGTAAATAAAATCAAGTCCTTTTGTAGCGACGACATTAGTGTTATACGCTTGGTATGATGTGGTGAAAGAAATTCCTAATCGGTTTGAAAAATTCTGATATTTCTTCTTCTTAACCCATCTGTTGTAGAGGCGAGTTGCATGAAAGTCTTTGAATGTTTTGCAATTACTAACATCAGGAATTTTGTTATCCTTCGAGAGGAAATATAGGACTAGTTTCTTGTGGTGAATAATACAGGCGTGACGATAATGTGACATTGTGAAAGGAACCGGAATGGAACAGGTCGCGGCAGTATTGGTCAACGGACCCACTGTATGAGTATGATTACATGGAAGGTAAATTCCAAAATAAAATCTATATTTTTTATACGAAAAATTAAAAAAAGTTTTAGTCATGTGATTATTTTTGTTCTTTTTTTGGGCACGTGATGCTATAAAATCCAAGCGCTCCAATAGTTTTTTACGAATATATGTAAAAAATTTTTCTTGCAATCTTCGAGGGATAACTTTTTGTGTTGAAAAAAAGTGTGTGAGCTGTTTCAATATTTGAAATTTGAAATTCGGGAGTTGACTCGTGGAGTTGTGATTAATCGGGATAGAGGACATATGATAATCATTTGTGTAAATCTTCAATTGAAGTTGATTGGTGTTTGGTAAATGATCAACCAGCTCAAAAAAGAAACTTTTTGAGCACCTAAAATTGTAAATCTTGTTATAACCGGCTCTTTGATGTGGAGTCACGTGAAACTTTTCGTATTTTGTAGAAAAAATATAATTTTTATTAGGCGAAGAAAAGGGCCTGATATCCTCAAAATTGTTATGAAATGAAGGTGTATCTGATAAACTGTCTTCAGTAAGAGGTACTGTTCGTGAAGTATCATAGTTGAAAATGAAGTCGTCAAAACCAGCAGGTGTATGGTCGTATCTTGGTGCAGGAGCAAAGTCATCGGCTCTTAAAAAATAAGACATAACCAACCCTTTGAGTATGGGTGTAATGAGAACAATAAAACCTCGTCTTATGCCCGAGGCGCCCTTTAGGGCCTCTTCCCTTTAGGTGTTTCAAATGGAAACTAAAAAATTAAATTTGCGCAAAATTACTGCGGAAAACTAACAAAATGGAGAAAAAGGGGAAAGAGTTTTTTCTCAGCTCTTATATTAAAGTGATATTAGGTAATATCTGACCCAGAAATATATATAGGGTCAGGTGATGAAAAAATTTTTTACTATGAAGCTGTACACATTTTTTCAGGGCCGGAATTATGATAATGTCAGTCAGTTACTATAATAGGAAATAAAACTCTGACTGGTATTATTAAAAATTATCTAAAAAAGGGAAGAATTTCATGATTTTTTTAGTTCAAAATACGCAAACTCAAACCTGAATTTCTAGGTCCTAGTACAAGGTTTCTTATAGTATATAGTAAGTGCATAAGGTCTTTTTTATTTTATTTTTATTTTTAAAATACAGACTCGACTGGGGTCAAACACTAAATAAGAATAAACATGATCTAAAAGAACAATAAATTCTAAGCTAATAATAAACCCAACCTCTCAGGAGGAGCCCGAAGGGGTCGTCTTGCCCTCTATTCAATAGAACAATCAGGCATAACTGGGAGTCTAGAAAGTACTATCGAACGAAAAAGAAGAACAAAAAAAATTAAATCTAAAATTACATAAAGAAGAAAAATTATCTATATCTAACTCGAAACTACTAGGATGCCGGACAGAAGATAACCATCCACCAGAATGTAAAAAATTACATGTACACAAAATCAACCACATCAGTAGATGCGGCAGGTGAGGAGGACGAGTAGACGGTGCCGTAGAGGTCCAAGGGTGAAACGAACGGCGAGAAATACCATCTGAGGGTGAGGAGTTCGTCTGGGCTCTGGGATGCGAAAGATTTTGCGATCCGTGATGAGAAGAAGAGGCAATTCTAGGTCGAGCAGTAGGTTGAGTTAATTGGTGATCACGTGACTTCTTTGGTTTTTTCCTTCGAAAATCACGTTTACGTTTGGGTGTAATTCCATTACGTTGTTCCCATAATTTCAATAAAGAGCAATGTTTAGGCCATATTTCTTGGTAAATGTGTTCATGAAATGATATTAAAAATTCCCATATAATTGAACGAGTGAGTTTATCATTGAAAGTAAAGGACCGAACAAGGTTATAAAAATCTTGTGAAACAAATTGGTGTATAATTAAATATATGGGATGATTATAAGAGTTCGAACCCGAAATTGGTGATAGTAGCTCAAATTGAGCGACTGATTGTGATATGAGGACAGAATTATATGAAGTGTTCTCCTCAAGGAGGCGTTGTAATATCCGTTTGTGTTCCTCTAAAATTTTGTTAATGACCGGTAAAAGGTTTGAACAAATTCCCAGATGTTCATTAGTATCTTGATGAGTGTTACACACCGGACAAGGTATGTAATTATTAGGGTAAAAGTCAGGGTAATGTTTAGTGAGGACATCACCGCAAGGGAGAATATGATTAAGTGCTTTGATTTTGAAAGCGTTGTGTGATGATTTAGTAGAGCTGCATACATCGGGCGTGGAATTAAATTGTAACCACGCTCGGGTAAGAGGCCAATGAATTGACTGTAAGGGGAACCTATCAAAAATAGGTGAGAGTGAAGGGTTGCCCAAGAATTGATTAAAAGTATAAACATCTGTTAAGTTATGACAAAATTTTCTAATATCGCGATCAATCGGTGCTATAGAAGCCCAAATAGGAGTCATTAATGAGCCCGGTAAGTTTGTAGGGTTGATTTCAAAAGGTGCAAGTTGGTGTGCAACATTGGCTAAACTATCAGCCATGTCGTTCCAATAATCATTGGAGTGAGCTTTGACTTTGTGTAATCTAACAATCAAGGATTTTTTCGTGATTAAGATATCGATCAAGCGCCACGCTAAGTGGTTATTACATTTCAAGGATCTTCTTATAGAAGTTAATTTGTTCGTGACTAAATGAAAAGTATGGATAACATTAAGTGAATCCGTAAAAACATCCAGTTCACTATTATCGGGTACTGCCATAATTGCCGTGAGTAAAGCATAAACTTCCGCTTTGGTAGAAGACGGGTTAAAAGATAAAGCGCCTTTGTATGATGGCGGAGGAGGGTCTGAATTAGGAGTTACATCAGTAGTTTCTATCCAAGCAAAACCCATTTGAGTTTGAGTAGAAGAAGTAACATCTATTCTAGAAAAAGAACCATCAGTATAAAAAGTAAAATTCTTTCGTAACAAAAATTTTTTAGCTATTTCTAAAAGTTGAATAATCAAATCTCTATTTCCTACAAATATATTATTAATGAAAAGAGAAGAAGAAATATTTAAATTTAAATTATTCGGATTATAAAATGTTTCCGAATTCTCATCTAAGTAAGAATCTAATATAGATAAAATAGGAACCGTTGAAGGTAAAACATTGGGTATAATTAATCTATGTTTACTAAACGTAAACGCTTGTGTACGAAGTGTATGTAAAGGTGTAACTGGAAAAATAAAAAATTTTTCTAATTTTAAAAATTGTTTGTTAGGTATAAATTTTTTTGCATGAACATTAAAAAGAATCAAATGTGATGTTAGGGAAACGATAATACATTTTGGGCGTAAATCGCCACTAAAAGGTACACTATGACCATATTGACCAGGACAAGGGCGTAAAATAGATGTAACTTTTTTGGGTGTTAAATTGGGTCTAGTATCAGCGTCTACCACTGGTATATAATGTGTTCGATAAGTAAGGCTAGTACCGTATAGGTCATTTTGTTGTTCAATCGTCTTGCCATATAGTTCACATTGGTGTACTAAGTCCCAAGAAATAGTCCATTCATTCTTAGGGCGATAGTTAGAGGCTTTTCGTATAGGAGGTGACATAGAGTCATATCGCGCTGGTGGGGAAACAATTAAATTTTGTAAAAGGCGGCGCGAACTTTTGGCCGCAATAATGTTGGATTTTTCAAGTCATTGAAACCACTTGGGTGTAGGTCCTTTAAAATTTGCCTTAGGGTTTTGTTTTTTAACATCTTTCCAGGTGCTTAGGTAGGAACCATCAATGGACGCTAACTGGTCCATGAACATTATGCATTTTTTCTGCAAGCTTTGGAGGTCGCTACTTGATAAAGAATCTAAGAGCTGATGTGAATTAAAGTAGGATACTATGGAATTACCACCACCGGAAACAGATGTATTACAGTGTGGTAAGAAAGTAATATAAAACTTATTAAATAAACGTAATTGTCGAGTTAAAAGGGATTGATAATTTGAAAAAATAGAATTAGATAGATCTTTAGACGTAGGAAAATTAGGGATCCAAAAATCATATTGTGTAGTTAAAATTTTTTGTAAACCAATAGTAGAAAACATAGGGGTATTAAAAATAACGTTAACTATTGATATATGTGAATAAAATTGGTTGTAAAAAAAACTATTAATAGACGGAAATAGTTTGTTATGAATAATGTTATTATGTGTAGATATTGGTAATTTTAAATGTTGTTTGAAAAGTTTTTTAACAGGGGCTAATAAAGAATCACATTGTGAACGTGTGAAAATAGTAAATTGGTTGATATACTCCAATTTAGGTAATAATACTTTGTTAATAATGTAAATAAGGTGGTCATGGGTTATTTTCTTGAAGCGCATTGTATACGCGAAGTGATTAACTATTTGTTTAATCTTTTTTAACGTTGGCGTATGTGAATTAAATGCGTTGATGTAAATTCCAAGAATTCGGTTGGACGAAGCACGCGGCGCTGTTCTAATTGTAATTGATTTGGAGGGGGTGACCTGGAATTGTAATTCCTTATTACAAAATTTAGGGTTATTAGTAAGGATAGTATATTTGTCATGATTAATGGTGATATTCGCCATATCGTAAAAGGAATTCGCTATTTGCAGATTGGATTCCAATTGTGATTTGGAAGAGGCGAACTAGAGCTCCGAACAGGTCAGCCAAATTCAGGTAACCTGACCTGACCTGACCTGAAATTCAGGTCAGGTATGAGATTTTTAAAAAAAATTCAGGTCAGGTATGAAGATTGACCTG